TCCAGTGCGCAGGGCGGGCGGAGGGCGCTCGGAGGGCCCCCGGCCGTCCTCACCTCCCGGGCCTCCAGTCACTGGCATGCTCACCCCCAGGTCCAGTGCGAGCTAAAGAGAAGGTGGCGAGGCCTGTGTCCCACCCAGCCCGGGAGCCGAGACTACCGCCTGCACAGCTGGTCCATGTCACGGAACGGCTCGGAAAGCGCCTTGCAGATGCACCGGGGCTCCCGAGCCCCGTCCCTCCTGCAGACGGAGACCTCGGTCCTCTAGCCTCCTCCCTCGTCTTGGAGCAGACCGCAGTGTGCCACACACGCGTGTGCAGGCTTTTTCCCATTCCAAGGTTGTGTGCCTGCTGGGTCAGTAAGAGCCTTGATCTTCCAGGCCCTTAACCCAACCCCACCAGCGCCTGATCCCGAGCACAGGCAGGTTCAGATTCCCTTGATCTAGTTGCTCATGATGTTTAAGCGCCAGGATTTAGGTCCTTCTGCTCATGATGTTGCACAGCTGTGTAGACAGGCCCACAAAGACAGCAGGGAAGAGAATACCAAAACCGGATGCTTCTGAAGAGGACAGGAGGCTTCCTGACTTCCCGGCCCCTCCTGGCACCACAAGCAGGGCCCCGCGCTGGCTGGGGCCGGACCGCTCACGCCGTCCGAGCCCCATGCTGGCTGGGGCAGGACCGCTCACGCCATCTGAGCCATGCCAACAGCTCTCCCGTTCTGTGCACTACACAGACACAGAGGCCATGTGAGAACTTCAGTCACTCTGAAGCCGGGCCAGGGAACGCTGTTGAGAGTGGCCTGCTCTCAGGACAAGCTCCTGGCCCCACGGCCACGGCAGCGTGCCCCAGGCCTCGGCGCCAGCAGCCCTGTTAGTCACCATCTCTCAGCCACGACAAGACGGTGGCCCCAGCCAAAAAGCAGCCTCCTCCTCCACAGAAATGTCACAGCTGCCCCCGTCTGCAGGTGGCCGGGGCCAGAGCAGCCCTGGAGGGGTCACAGGAGGGCCCCAGCCCAGGCTGGCGACCAGGCTGCAGGGCCCCGGGACCAGCCACGGAGGCTGTTTACCTGGAGAATTGTGTCAACACAAAATAGAGTGACATGAACCGTACTTGCACATAGCCGTGGGCGCCTGAGCTTTGGTGATTTGCAGGTGTGGGAAGTAGCTGGGAGGGCTGGTGTAGGAGGACCCTGCAACGCACTGAGGCCCAGCCCAGCAGAGGGCCGTGGCCTCGGGACCCAGGACCCTGAGCAGGTGTTACACTACTTTCCCCACAAGAGTGAGGGCCATCAATCATCCCTATGGTTTTGGTCTTGTAGATTCCAGCCAGCATCGGTACTAACAATGGTCATGGCAGGGGTGGAGACGGGCAGGGCCAGGAGGCAGCAATGGCCCCCACCCAGCTTCCAAAAGCAAGCTGGGGAGCAGCCAGAGCCGCCGGGCTCAGCGCCTACGCCGACCTTCATTCCACACTGCCCTGTCCAATCCATTGCTGGATTTTGTTTAGAGTCATGGTGAGCAGACGGCCGGAGGATCCAGGGAACACCTACGTCACCACCTCCAGGGCCAAAGTCCAAGGACAGGACTGGGAGCAGCCGGGGGACAGAGAGTCGGCCTGCCCCATTTCCACCCACCTCCAGCCCTGCTCCGCTTGCTCTAGCCATTTTGAGGAAATGAAGCTTTGCCATAGCTGAACGTGTCCTGTAGCAGCCAGGAGTGGACGCCATGCCGTGACCCTGAGTGGACACTACGGGGCTGTGAATGCCAGCTACTCAAGCGCAGGGGAGTGAGGGTGGGCGGTGGCCGCCTTAGCCTGCAGTGCTAGGCCGGCACAGACAGGGGCCTTTGTCTTCCCGACAAAGCCCAGAACGAGAGCACCCGCCCGACCAGGAGCAGACATGGTGGCCAAATGATCAGTGTGTATTCTCAAGCTTATGTGTATGAGATGTCCACAAACTCCACCCCCCGGTAGGAGCGAGCTATGTGTGTATTTCAATAAACCCTGACTTATACCTGGATGAGTCCCTGTGGGCAGTGCTGAGGCCCCTCCACAGCGGTGCCAGGCTTCTCAGCCACGGGAGAGGCCACGGGCACCTGGGGAAACACCAGCCCTGCTCAAAACATCACTGCCTCTGCCTGCAAGCGCTCATGGGAGCTGAGGGTCTGAGGGGCCAAGAAGTGTCGGTGCAGCCCGTGGTAAAAGCCAGCACAGCAGGGCACAGCAGCCCTCCTCAGCCCCGGCCCCTAGCCCGCCAGTCGACAGGGCCTGCGTGCATGTGCACACGAGGTGTGCGTCGAGTGCCTGCGTGGGGCTGTACTTCAGTGTGGGTGTGTGCGCTGGGTTTGCAAACAGTGGTATACCTGCATATGTGTATGGGGGGAGCCCGTGGCTGTACCTGCCAGTGTGTCCGCGTGCATGTGGATGTGTCCGTGTGGTGTATACAGGGCGTGCTTGAGTGTGAGTTTGTGCATGCCTCTGTGCTCTGACCCTTCGCCACATTCATGTTATAAAACCTATTCTGTTCCAAGCTGCTTTACAGTAGAGGAAGCACATTGCTAAAAGTCCGATTCTCAAGAGCAGGCCTTGGAGCTGAGCAGACAGCCTGGCCATGGGGCCTCCTCAGAGCTGGGAGGCCGGGAGGGAGAGGGCGCACACCGTCGGTTTGTCCCAGGGGTGCGGGGCCCGCGGGGCTCCGGCTGAGCCTGGGCTGCGGGGAGCCCCTGGAGGGATGCCTCACCGCTGGGAGTCGCAGCGTGCTCCCTTCTCATCCAAACGCCAGCCTTCTCCACGTCTTCAGACTGTACAAATTTAACACTTAGGGTTATGGGCAGGTGCTGCACAGGAAATGGGCTGCTGGTCCCAGGGTTTTCCTACACACAGACACTGCCGTCCCTCCCTCCCTCCCTCCGTCTCCTGGAAGCCAGGTCACATCGTATACACGTTTACAGCCTGCTTCTTTCTATTAAAGTCACGGGGTAGAACTCGCCTGTTGGAATACACAGCACTGCTTTTATTTTGTGAGTCAAGGTCTCACCACAAGGCCCGAGCTGGCCTCAAACTTACAACCGGCTTCAGCCGCCTGTGTAGCTGTCCCACCACACCTGGCTCGGATCCACATCGCTTTGAACAGTTGCTTAATTAACACTCACTAGCAGGCATCGCTCGCTTGCTTAATTACTCGCTGGGGTTTGCTTTTGCAGGTGTGGTTGCTCACCTGAGTGTTTGCATTGGGGGCTGCGGGTCCCCTGGCGGTCAGTTCGGGGTGGGTGTCAGCCCTGCGGCTCTGCAGCCCCCCAGGGGCTGCCACGCCAGCTTGCACGGCACTGCCTGCCAGCTAGGGTGCCTGTCACCTGGATGCGCAGGTTTCCATGGTGAGAAGCCATGAATACCTCGTCTTCACAGAAAGTTTTTCTCCCGTTCTAGTCTGGTGCCGAGCCTCAGCCTGACCCACTAACAAACCCGGCAGTGCTTCCTGCAGCTCGGGCTGAGCGCCTGCTGACCCTCCATGGCTCTCGCTCTGGAAATGGACTGCGTGCTCAGCCCTGCCACCGTCGCCAGGGACCAGCAGGCCCGCAGAGCGCGCTGCATGGGACGTGGCCCTCACAAAGGATTTAGGGCATCTTTTATACAGAAAAGTGTTTGCTGGAGAGAGAAAGAATAGATTCTTGCTTCCTTTATGTCCGACATGATCAACAAGGGAAGTAGGGCAGAGCTGTGTCAGCAGGGGTCTCCAGGCTCGTAAAAACAGCCCCTCCTCCTCAGCTCTCCGGACTTCAGTGGACCCTTGGGGCAGGTCCCCAGGAAGGACACTCACCCCGGGCCACTTTTCTAAAGCAGCTTCCGCTCAAGACCAAGGTCAGGCAGGACAGGCTGCTGCACAGGCCCAGGTTGGGCTCCAGAGACTAGGAAAGCATCACAGGAATACAATGGTGTGAATGCTGTGGCTCCAAACCATGAGGTCAGTGATTACAGCCTCATGACAGCACGTGGGCCCACGAAGCCTCCCATGGGCTCTCCTGGCGTCAGGCTGACTCGGGAGCAGGTCTTCCTCCCAAGCCCATCCCTGGGTGGCAAAAGCTCTACCGGAGCTGAAGGTAAGTCTAGGGCCAGGGCCCGTGCACGGAGCCCAGCCCAGCCCAGGAAGCTGATCCTCAGAAACACTGAACCCTGGGCGAGGCTGCTCTCTGGAGGACCGCAGGGCTTCGTGTCCTCGTCCCTCCATTTCCACCCCCTGCTGTCGGGGGAACCTCAGTGAGCAGTGGGGGGAAGGCCGGCCCAGGGGCCGGGGCTGGAGGGTGCTTTCTCTGATGACAGGCCCGGCCATACCGAGTAGCAGGCATGCAGACAGCAGGGGAAAAAGCCGTCTCCAGATCTCTTGAACTGCTTCCATGCTGTGTAGAAAATGCCAGAAAAGGGGCCAGATGGGCGGTGAGAACCCAAGGGGGAGGGTGGGTGATCGTGACTACAAAGGGTCGGCGTAAAAATCACGGGCCTTTCCACGTCCCAGCCACGGTCAGGGACTGCAAAGGAGAGTCTTGCTTCAGGGAGAAGAAGGCATCGCTCATTCTGAGGGGGCTCGGTCCCCCTGATGCGTGCCCCACAGTGGAAAAGCCTGCGCCCGCGTTTACAGTCACGGCCCAACACGTTCCCCAGTGACAGTGGGGAAACTTCCGTGGCCTTCAGATGTCATATCTGAGCTGGGGGACATTGAGCCGCACATTCACGCAGATGTTATTCAGAGATGGAGATTAGTAGTAAATGGCTACTAAGGAAACTAAAAATAGCCCAAGATCATTTTTTTCTGATTCTGGAATTGAACCTAGGGCCCTGCTCTGTCCCTGAGCTCAAGCCTCTGCTCCACCCCTTCAGCCACAGCCCCCCTTTATCGGTCGTTACGTGAGATAGGAGTCTCACAGACTTTCTGCCTGGCTGGCTTCAAACGATCCTCAGATCTCAGCTTCCCGAGTAGCAAGGGCGATGGGCGTGAACCAAGGCCTGGCTTCAAGATGATTCTGACTCTCAACCAGCTGCATTAAATCCTCCACAATCACAAAATCCTGGTCACACATGTGACATCTTCAGAAAGCTGCTCACAGCCCAGTCCCAGACTGACACCCTCAGGAGAACAAATCCAGAAAAGGAGACAACTGGCGAGTGGCACTCGCAGTCCCCAGGAGCGACCTCGCCCTGTGGGCCCCCCCAGGCGGCAGTGAGACACCCCAGGTCCCCATCACGTCCGGAGCCTGTCTGGAGCCTGGGCCCCGGCACA